GGATCCACCCTGCAGACCCAATTTAGACCATAGACCACCATGAGGGCTGAAAAGAGAGACATTGTCCCCCAGTGCACCATCAGCACAATGGGCCATGAGCATGGGTCAATCAGACATTATGTAAATGCCTGGTGGAATTGGATCTTGCACAGACTAAATAAACGGCACAGAATCCCATATTCCCCTCAGAAGCAAAAGGGAAAATGGTAGTTACAACCTTAGCTGTGCAAAATTCCATCTATTCAAATTCAACTAGAGAATCACCCTGGTCATAAGCAAGTGCCAGGCCTCCACATCCAGTCTCAGAACTCTGTCCTGCAAGTTGCTTCAGTGAACCCCCGGCAGCTCCCAGAAACCCCAGGTAACATGGGATAGTAATGGTTTTCCTTCCAGGAAGTGTATTCCAAATGGAAGCTTTGAAACTAAATATATAAATGACAACATAAGGTCTGGGGGTATTTGCCTATATTCCCAGATGCTCAGGAGGCTGAGGCAGGAGGATAGTTTAAGGCCAGCCTGGGCAAACATAGTGAGATTTCATTTCAAAAATTATTAATTAATTAATTAATAGTAGTAGTAGTAGTAGTAGTAGTAGTAGTAGTAGTAAAATAGATGACAGCCAGGCCAGTGACACATGCCTATAATCCCAGCAGCCCGGGAGGCTGAGGCAGGATTGCAAGTTCAAAGCCAGTCTCAGCAATTTAGGGAGGCACTAAGCAATTCGGCGAGACCCTGTCTCTAAATAAAATATTTAAAAGTGCTGGGGAGGGCTGGGGATGTGGCTCAAGCGGTAGCGCGCTTGCCTGGCATGCGTGCGGCCCGGATTCGATCCTCAGCACCACATACCAACAAAGATGTTGTGTCTGCCGAAAACTAAACAATAAATATTAAAAAATTCTCTCTCTCTTTAAAAAAAAAAAAAAGTGCTGGGGAGCGGCTGGAGTTGTAGCTCAGTGGTAGAGCTCTTGCCTTGCACGTGTGAGGCACTGGGTTCAATTCTCAGCACCACATATAAATAAGTAAATAAAATAAAGGTTCATCAACAACTGAAAAAAAAATGAAAGAAAAAAAAAGTGCTGGGGATATGGCTCAGTGGTTAAGTGCCCCTGGGCTTAATCCCCAGTACCTAATAAATAAATAAATTTTAAAAATAGATGACAAAGTAAATCAAGCAAGCACATGGCATTAATACATGTGTGCTAAGAGTAATCTATATTTAGCACCATAATGTGTAAGAATATTTATTGTACTAAAAGTCTGAAATTAGTCTGGTAACATCAAATTAAACTATAAAATCAAGTGCTTGATTTTAGACTTGGTTTCAGTTTTAAAGTATGAAATAATTTGATTATGTTCGTGAACAGTATTGGAACATTTGAGACCTGGAGATTCATTGTGACTCTTAATTTAATTTATTTGCTTAGTTTTTCTTGTTAAGCCAGGCATTCAAAATTACTTAAAATACAGAGTATGTATAAATTCAGTTTAGAATATTTGGGAGCATTTAAATGTGTAATAAATGGGACTGATTATTTAAGAAGAGTTTTGTGACTTTAACTTGCATTATTATGCAGTAATGAGGTCAAATTGGTGGCTCTTATTTACCTTAATCTATGAAGAGAAAAATCACATTTGTAAGCAAAATTAGAAGAAGCTTAAGAAAACTAATTTTAAAATATACTTTAAAAAATTTACTGGGGGGGCTGGGGATGTGGCTCAAGCGGTAGCGCGCTCGCCTGGCATGCGTGCCGCCCGGGTTTGATCCTCAGCACCACATACCAACAAAGATGTTGTGTCCGCCGAGAACTAAAAAATAATAATAATAAATATTAAAAATTCTCTCTCTCTCTCTCTCTCTCTCTCCTCTCTCACTCTCTCTTTAAAAAAAAAATTTTACTGGGGCTGGGGATGTGGCTCAAGCCGTAGCGAGCTCACCTGGCAAGGGTGCGGCCCGGGTTCGATCCTCAGCACCACAATACAAAGATGTTGTGTCCACCAAAAACTAAAATATAATTTTATAAAAATGAGTAATAAGGAATAGTCTTTTCTGTGCACAAACATCCCCCAAAGACATCAAAAACACCTTGACATTGGAGTCCACGTGCCAAGGGGCTGAGGTCCAGGATAAGCCACCTAAGAGAATGTACCGCCTGTGCCAAGAACAACTGCAGCCCTGGGGACTCTGCTCTTGTCAAGCAGATGTACAAGGAAGAACACCTGCAGCTCTACTGCTGCCAGCCTGAGAGACCAATGAACTAAGAGGTGGCATTCTGTGCCCAGCCACCCATGTTCCATCCTTCTACCTGGCTCTTCTCTCCTTGGTCCTCCTTCTCTCTTCTCCATATCACCCCTCATCATTTTTGTTTCCAGTGCAAAGGATTGAACCCAGGGCCCCACTCATGCCAGGCAAGTGCTCTACCACTGAACACCCCAGCCCTGAATCACCCTTTAAGATATTAATATTATGTATTTTACATATTTAGGTTATCATCTTTCTGAACATAGTTGATGGCAGAGACCATGGAAGCAGGGGTTATGTCTTGTTCAATCCCAAATCACCAGTACCTCCAAAGGACCTGAGTGTGGTCTGCTCCCAAGAAACAGGCACTGCATGAAGAAATGTTCAGCCTTTGTTTCTCATCATCTGTTTATACATCTCCCTCCTCTTATGGGCTGCATAATCCTTGACTCAGGGATGACCTTCCTCACCATTCAATCTGCATGCCCAGCACCATTCCCAGGAAAAAAAAAAAAAAAAAGAAGACCCAAGCTATCTAAAAATGACTCCCTGTTCAAAGGTAGGTGAGGCCTTTGGAGTCAAGCAAAGTTGGAATTCTGGACCAGCCATAGTCCAGACCTTGGACCAGTTTGGACAAGTTACTCAAGATCTCTGAATTTCTGTTTCTTTAGCTGAAAGTGGGTATAATACCTACTTTGTTCTGTTCTTGTGGAAATTTAGTGGCTTGATGTAAGGGAAAGTGTCTAATGCTGAGTCCTCAAATAAAGTCTGTCTCATAATAGATGCTCAGTAAAAATCAGTTTCTTTGCTCCTTCTCATCTCCTCTAATTGCTGCAGAGAAGGCCCTCACACACACCAATACCAGCTTCAGGTGTGTGACCTAAGTTTCTTCCTCTGGGAAGTGACAGAAATCAGAATGGGACCCTACTGCAGAGCCCCATCCAAGCCTCCATCTGGGGGATTGGAACAGAAGAATGAGTTCCTGGTTTGAGATTTGGAGATTCCACCAATTTGGAGAACTTCAAGTGCAGGAAGTGAAAGGAGACATGGGTTAAAGGGGATCCTGGCCCTTTCTAGAAAGCCACATGCATCCACTCCTATGTTCCAAAAATGAGGAACCCAAGAAAGGGGCAAGTGGGGAGACTCATCCTGAAGAGGAAAGTCAAAATGACCCCATCCCTCTATACTCCTCTAGACCCAGCCTCCTGACTGATCTTGACCTCAGTCCTAGCCTGATCCCAGCTCCAGGCTTAACCCCTCCATCAGCCCTAACCCCATGCTTACTTACGACCTAATTCAAGGTCAATTCCAACAAAGTGAAGAGTTGGGGCCCTGGAGGAATCAAAGATCCCCAGATCACTAAAGAATTCCCTGGTCTCTCTTTTTTGTTTCCATTTCTCTGGCCTGTCCTCCTCCATCTACCTGCCTTAGTCTATGCCTCCACCTCTCTCTCGCCCATCAGTCCCCTTTCTGTCTCTCTCTTGCTCATTTATTCATGTATCACAGCAGATATTTGTTAAGCATCAATTTGTGGGGAGGTTCTGTTAGAATATTCTGATGGAAAATTAAAGATGGAAATCATAGAATTATGCAGTATCCCAGCTATAGGGGGCATGGGCTGTCCCAGACCACCTGCCTCCATCCATGCAGAGGAAACTGGTGCCCAGAGAGGGTACATCCAGGGTCCTACAGTCACTGACCCCAGAGCTATCCTAGGCCACAAATCTGGACCAGAATGAGCATGATTTTTAGCTTGTGAGGGCTGCCATGACAAAGTACCACAGACTGGTACTTAACAGAAATTAATTTTCTTATGGTTCCAAAGTCTGGAAGTTTGAGATCAAGATCTGGGCAGTCTTAGTTTCTTCTATGGCCTTTGTCCTTGGCTTATAGTTGGCCGCCATCTTGCTATGCCCTCACAAGGTCTTTCCTCTGCATATCTGTGTAGTAATCTCCTGAGGATACCAGCCATATTGCATTAGGCCTACTCCAGTGACCTCATTTAACCTTGATTGTCTCTTTAAGGACCATCTCCAAATACAGTTACATACTGAAAGACTGGGGATCAGGACTTCATCCTATAAATATGTGGAAGACATAATTCAACCCATAATAGTTGGAACATACAACTCTATATTTTGGTACTGGGGGTTGACCTCCGGCATTTAACCACTGAGCCACATCATCAGCCCTTTCTATTTTTTTATTTTGAGTCAGGATCTTACCAAGTTGCTCAGGACCTTGCCAAGTTGCTGAGGCTGACTTTCAACTTGCAATCTTCCTGCCTCCTGCCTCAGCCTTCCAAGCCAGTTGCAGTGTAACACCCAGATTACTATTATCAGAGAAAGAGAGAGAGAGAGAGAGAACGAGTCATGTGTTGGGGAAGGAGGAGTCAGAGGAGAGTTATTCTCCCCAAATCCAGCTCTTCCCCAGCCCCAGGCCCAGGAAGAGGGGGCTGGACTTGTTCTTTCATTCATGGTAATTACTTTATTCAAATATGTTGCTTAGCCAGCATGATCACACACACTTATAATCCCAGCAACCCAGGAGGCTGGGGCTGAGAAGGAACACGAGTTCAAAACCAGCCTGGGTAACTTAGCAAGTCCCTGTCTCAAAATAAATAAACTCCAGGGCTGCAAGTACCCTGAGCATACTGTTTACCAATCCCAAAGTAAGAACCTGGAGGACTCAAGGGAAAGGCTTTAGACATTTTATTACTTACTCCTTGGTAGTGTAGGCCAAGATACAGTGGAGGGCCACACTACACCTACAAGCAGGGGGAATACGTAGGATAAGTTTCATGCCCACTGCCCTGGTGGATTTCCTCAGCTGTTTTATGAGTGCATTCCTTTACAACCAGGATCACTCTGTTCAGATCTTCTCCTAAAGACTGGAGATACGGAGAGTGACCAGCTCCCCAACTCCATATCTTTCCCTTACCACACTGTTTTTGTTTTTGTTTTGTTTTGTTTTTAAATACATCTGTAATTTTATTATAAAATCATTCTTTTGGCATTAGTTGGTTACCGTGAAAGCAAGATACGGTGAGTGTAGCATAGCAGCTCTAATGTAACAGCTGTACTCCCCTGCTTACTGAACCAAAATTTAAGTTACCTCAAATCCATTACATACAAGTTATCTGTAGTCATTACTGATACAAATCCTTTAGGGAAGAGTTGATACTAAGGGATTAGAGTAAATGTTGGTAAGACTACAAAAGTAGTAGTTCCTTTATAGGACTTTTTTTTTCTTCCCCCTCCCCTCCAATTACTTTACTTTAAAAAGAATCAAATTTCTTAGAGCTAATCTGAATAGCAGGAGTACCCAAAGAACATCACATTTAGTTCTTGTTAAAAAGCAATACCTGTGCAATGCATATTTAGTCCACAGGGAAGGGAATGATCGCTCTAGTTTTAAAGTCCTCATTAGAATCCCTTAAAAAAATAAAAGCATTCCATCAAGTTCTTCTGGATGGTGTTATTGCTGTACGTTTGTTGGGAGGTCACTTTCTCTGCTGTGTTTGCTTTGAAGGGATATTCCAATATATCTCCAATATTCTTTCTCTTTTTTTAAGAGAGAGAGAGAGAGAGAGAGAGAGAGAGAGAGAATTTTTTAATATTTATTTTTTTAGTTTTTGGTGGACACAATATCTTTATTTTTATGTGGTGCTGAGGATCAAACCGAGGGCCACGCGCATGCCAGGCAAGTGGGCTACCGCTTCAGCCACATCCCCAGCCCCATATATTCCTTTCTTATAGTGTCCTTTTTCTTTAGCTAGGATTTCACATAACTCTAATGCTTTATTAAGAATGTCCTCTTTGTTGTCACATTGGTTTTCTAGCATATCATCATAGATATCCACAAGAAAGGCAATTAGGTAGGGGAAACTGTGACTTGGTTGTAAATCAAGTAATTGATTTAACAGGTTAGGATATTTGGAAAGACCACAATCCTGCAAAATCCCTTTCAAATAGTTCCATGCACTTTCATTATGTGGTACAAGTTTGATCATTTCCAGAGTGTATTGGACTTCTCTTTCCAATACACCATGACCACTGTAGCCAGTGGTTTTAGAAATGACAAAGTATCTTTGGTTCCAGACAGAGTTATTTCTCACATCCTCTTTTAGAAGTTGGTCTACATACTGCAGCTCATTATCCCAACGTTTAAATTCCTGAATGACCCATCGTGGATGCTACCAGGCATGGTAATTCTTTGCATCCTGGTTAAGAATATCAGCAATAAATTCAAGTTCCTGAGATGGATCTTTTAGCCATTCTACTAATACTCGCCTATGGTGCCAAACTTGATGGTTTGAGGGCTGTTCCTCAAATATTGCAATGATGTAGTTCATTTCCTCATGTAGATCCTTTTGAAGTGACTTTAAGAGAACTCTCTGAAAATGCCACACTGCATAATTGGCAACATTTAACTCAATAGCATCCCAGGTAAGCTTAAAAGCTCGTTCACTTCTTTCATCACCCTGTAGAACAGCTAAGAAATAATCATAAACATCTCTAAATTTTTCACTATAGATGATCTGGACTTCTGGATTTGGACCATCATTCTGTGGTACTGGATCTATATCAGCCCATTCTGCTCTGTCCCTGTACAGGACATAGGTGGGCGAGTCCAGGCTCAGAAACCCTTCGTCCATAGGGGACATCACTGCTCTTCGGGCCTCAGCTGCCATCCCTTCTTCCTGCTGCACTGCGGCTGCTGCTGCTGGGGTGGCGGTGGGTGCGGCTAGGGCGGAGGACTGCTCCAGCTGACCAGGCTCACCACCCTGTGTAGTCTCTCGGACCCCCTCAGCAGCTGCTGCGCTGCAGAGGTGGTGGCAGAGACCCCCGTCCCTACCACATTTTTTAAGAGTTCTTCTTATCTCGCTGCAAGCCTTCCTAGGCACCAATTAGTGTCTAACCCAACACGCTACCCCTTCAGTGCCTCAGAAACTCCTTCTTGTCCCTCCTATTCTCACACCACCCCACATCTTCTGCAAGCACCCTGCATCCATATCTTACAACAAAGTACAAAGAGCAGGAACTTTTTAGAAAGCATATTAAGGTAATTAAGGTAGCATTAATTGGTTTAGGCACTTGAGTTCAAGCCTGAGAGAAATGTCCTAGTCCAGTTCTGTTCTATCCAGCTACATTCCATCTCATTTGTGGCCTACCCAGGGAAGTTCTTGTGCTGCAGTCACAGGGAGTTCTGAGCAGAATTATGCAGTCAGTCTGGCTGGCGAGATGTACAATTTCCGTTGCCCAATCCAGGAACAGGTTACTCGTTGTTAACCTCTGGTGAACATGACAAATGTTTAATAGATACCAATAATCACATATCAGGGGGCTGGCATTGTGGCTCAGTGGTAGAATGCTCGCCTAGCACATGTGAGGCACTGGGTTCAGTCCTCAGCACCACATAAACATGAAATAAAGATATTATATCCACCTACAACTAAAAAATAAATATTTAAAAAATAATAATAATGGCATATCAATTCTATGAGACAGTGTACAGGCTACTGGATGATCTTGTGTTATTAAAGTAGCCTGCTCAGTAGGCTTACCTGAACACCACACCAGTCTATCTGTACTTCAGGAGTATAAAAAGAACAAGACAACTCTTTAGTATATAACTTATCTTAAACGGATACAAAGTGTACCTCGTGTGATGACACCCGAGGGTAATACCACCTGTACTTATGAGCCCCAGGTTTCCAATGTAGCAGGCTTTATATGTAAATTTAGATATTCAAGCAAACCACTGGGGGCTCACTTGTACAGTCCATAGCCAACAAATGCTCCTCGTCTCTGGTATGATGTCTCAAGAAGCTGGCAACAGTAAGTTGTTATTCATGCCCCACACTGATTTAAGAAAATGTCTAGTGGAAGTGCTCTGTATCTGTAACCTTAATGCTGCTGGCCATGGTCAAGAGAACATAGAAATGGCTGCAGGCCACTGAGGTCTGGGTTTCTCGTGTAGTGTTCTTAGTGCCTCAGGCAGATAATCAGCATGGAGGTACTGTCAGTCCTTCAGGCTTGTTTCAACAGGCCATTCATTCTCTCAATTAATCCAACTCCTGTTGGATTGTATGGCAAGTGGAAAATCTGAAATATGCCCTAGTTTTGAGCCCACTGTTGTATGAAGCGAGTTCGTTGGTCACTCTCCGTTAGTTGCCTTCTGATTGGGACAGGCTTGCATCACGTCTATAACTGTGTCCACACAAGTCAGTGCATATTCAGCCCCTTCTGATAATGGGAGAGGGCCAATGTAGTCTATCTGCCATCGATGAAGAGGGACATCATCTCATTTGATATGCTCTTTGGGGCATCCAGTCATCTTGGGTAGTGCTGAGAGCAGGCAAGTCAGTCCTGGCATTCAGCAACACCAGATATCTTTATAAGCAACCTCTGAAAAACTAATGTGACTCCATTTTTGAGAAACCAGCCTCTACCTCAGAGCAAAGCTTGTCCTAAGGAAGGGGGCGTAACCCTTGTCCTTGGAAAAACCCACAGAGCACTCCTAAGCACATACTTACCCTGCTGAGTTGTTTGTCTGTAAATAACAGGAGAGGTCTTAGGCGCCAGATGTCCCTGACTCAGGCTAGGTAAGGACCCATAGCAACCCCCCTAGCAACCTCCAAGCAGTATGAGACAGGGAAAATACCTGGGATGCCAGATGACCCCCCCAGTAGTTTATGGTGGTTGATAACATGTTGGGAAACCATGTAGTTTAGCACGTACCCCCCTCATGGCCTAAACCAATCAGTTCAAACGAATCCCCCTCTTGTATTAACCAATCACCCCTACCCAACTTGTTCCGCCACTGAATGTGCTAATCAACGTTAAGAGTTGTTGTTTGACTTTCCCGCGGTATGGAATGATTTGCTGTGTGATGTTGTGACGCACAGAGTATCCCCCCAAAACCTATAAAATCTCACTGAACAAAGGACCGGGACTCACTCCCTGAGACCACTGCCTCGGGAACGGTTGTGAGTCCAGGCTCGAGCTTGCAATAAAGACTCTAGTGTGATTGCATCGGATTCGGCTCCTGGAGGTCTATTGGGGTCCCACAAATCTGGCATAACACCCCCAGCGTGTATCAGCTGTCATCTTTTGACCTACATGCAATATCCATGTTGTAGCCAAGTGACCATTTCTTCTGCTGGGGCTTCCTCCAGCCACCTTAGCTTTACCAGTTGTACAACCTTGACTGGTTTCTGTGGTGATGGACTCTGGGGCAGGAAGGGCAGCAGAAGTAGCACACAATTGTTTTGCCTACAAGCTATAATGTTCCTCCACCCACTTCCATAACTGTGACCAAAATCCAATAGGGGTCTTATATCCTTTAATTCAGTGCCATAAGCTCCATCCACAGAAGTCCAGAGTGGCATGGACTGCAAGCTCAGCAGGTCTTGATGTGTCCCAAGGTCCTGTGCCTATTTTAGTGTCTGTTTGGCCTGATTAAATGTCTCAGTCTGTCATCCAGTCCCTTACTGTACTCCTCCTACACAAATTATATAGGGGTCATAATAACTGAGCCAGATGAGGAATGAGAGTCCTCCAATGACCCAGTAGCCCCACAAGTTCTTATATTTGTTTTACTGTGTTGGGAAGTTGAAATGCCTGGACTTTATCTATTACAGCCCTAAAATATAACCTTTGTCTTTCCTGACCAAACAGTACCCAAAAATTTAACCAATAAACCAGGGCTCTGTACTTTGTCAGGTTTATGGTCCATCCTCTCCCTTGCAAATGAGTCAAAGTACGGGGGTAGCTTTATTGAGCACTGAAAGCGAATCTGATGTGATCTTTGTGTAAACACTTTTTTATTAGTGGAGGTCAGCAGGGTTGTTACCATGCCATGACACAAGGTGGGGCAATGGATATATCTTTGAAGTAACACTGTAAATGTCTACCATCAGCCTTCCTACCTGAAGGCAAATGGGTCTTGACTCTCTAGGACTTATCTATATGAAGAAGGCATTAGCAAGGTCCAGCACACAGTGAGATGTTCCTAGTTAGCCCTTCTAGAATAGTGGCTATGTCAGGAATGGTTGCACAAAGTAAAGGGATCAGTTTATTTTATTTAATTTTCTATAATCCATTATCTTGCACCAAGTTCCATCCTGCTTTCTTACCTGCCACACAGGGGAGTTAAAAGGACTGTGTGTTGGGTGAATTAGGTTTACTTTAGACAATTCATGCAAGGTCTCTCTTTCTTTCTTTCTTTCTTTCTTTTTTAGTTGTAGATGGCACAATACCTTCATTTTTTACTTATTTATTTTTTTATGTATTGCTGAGGATCCCCAAACCAGTGGCTCACACATGCAAGGCAAGAGCTCTACCACTGAGCCACAACCCCAGCCCCAGGTCTCTGTTGCTTAATGGCCACCAGGGAGCTGATACTGTTTGGTGACAATAATTTAAGCAGGTGGGGGAGTGTTTAGCATGCCCTCTTAATATTGCTTTACAGTTGATACATGATTAATCTCCCAGAAACACAAAGAAAACTCCCTTGTTATATATAATACGTGTTGATATCTTGTGGGATAAATGCCCTTACCCACAAGATATCAACACTTATTATATATTTAGGAATGAGAGTTATGAACATCGGGTAGGGGTGGGTAGCAGGTGTCTAAGCTTCAGAGTCAACGATACTGCTCAGACTTTTACTGTTTTCCTCCCATATGTATTTATAGCAGTTAACCTGTCTGAGAATTTGTCAGGATGACCGTATATCAATGTACACTCAGCTTCCGTGTCCACCAAGGCTGCTACTCTCTGAGCATTTTTTGAAGACCAATGTACTGCCAGTGCTATATATGGTCTCCCGTCCAGAGACAGGGCTTAGACTCCTAAACCTTGACCTTTTCCCTAGTTGTCCCATACCTAAAGGTTCAAAGATTCCTCAAGGGCAGCTGTGGACTCGGATTTCATTACATCTCCTTACAGGAGCGGCTTGTCTCAGTCTCTTTTTGGAGTAGGAGTCTATTCTGCCTTTCTGATTATCTTTTTATTTTCTTAATGAGAGGTAATGGCTGAAACCTTTGTCCTCCGGCAACTGCTTTCATAACTGTACCAGAGTGGACTTAGGTTGTTTATCTGTTTGGGGGACAGACAGTCTGAATGATTTGCATTCTCCTTCCCTGAGTCAGAGAGGCTTTGACCGTCACTACATCTCGTACTGACCTGGACATTGCCCTGGTCCTGGAAGTTTGAGGATGCATCTTCGGATGTAGGCATGTCGCCCCATGGATTGAGCTGCACTCACCTGTTCCTTTGTGATATTTCCCCTTTGGGATAGAATATTCCTTGGAAACACTTTGTGTGTCCCTTTCTCTTGCTCTGCTTTTGGATGTGACCTTCCTAGATGTCAGTCAACCTGCTGACAGCAGACATCAGGAAGCTAGACTCATCCCCCTGAAGCCTGACCCCTTGCCTCATTTGAATGGCTTCTCCTCAATAAAAGTGTTCAGCACACATATGTGCGCTTGCGCTCGCGGGCACTCACTTTCTCTCTCTCTCTCTCTCTCTCTCTCTGTCTCTCTCTCTCTCCCCACCCCCCCAAGCCTTAAGGTCAGAGGAGCCGTCACAGAACCCCAAAGAAAAAGGTATCTCTGACTCTTGTGTGGTTATTTTGTGCAGCCCAGTTCCCCTGGAGTGACCTTGAGTGTTTTAGTCTCAGAGAACAAGAAACTAAAACTGTCTGTTCCCTCCTCTATTAAATCTACTCACATCCATCTACAGGAGACTCGGAGAGGTCCTTCTAGTTTGGGCTGGTCCTTCTAGTTTTGGACTCCTGTTTTCTGCCTCAGTTTGCCTGTCTCTCGTAGGTCTGCTGTCAATCAGATTGCTTGCTAGAGAGGCTGCCCTACCAATGGGAATAATATTGATAGCGGGGCACCATAAATGGATGGAGGGGATGTGCAAAACCCTGCATCCCTCATCCCCGGGAGTAAAGTCATGCTGTCAGTCCTGGGAAAGGCAGCACCTGTATAGCATGTTTCATTCCCAGTCCTTGCAAACAGCTCTGTAGTTTTTCCATAGAGCCAGGTACCTCTGGGCATGACAATATCTCCAGAATTTGGCCACATATTGCCAGTGGCAAGAAGCAGTCAAGTTAGTTAATGACCCCACACTTTCAGCAGCAGCAGTGGCATAAAAGTGTTGGCTCTTTGGACAATTCTATATCATTCGACATTATCCCATCTGCTCCAGTGTCCCACAACTGGAGTAGCCATGCCAGTATACTTTCTTTTATTTTCTGTCTGAATTTGGACCTCAGTCCCACCAGCTCCATGGGGGGTATACAGACTCATGGTGGTATGTAAATATCTCTCTGGAGCAGCAGCAGATCTGGATCCACCTCCTCAGGCTGGCTCCTGCTGGGTCTTTAATTTTTGGACCATTACCAGTCTAGCTTCTATTATATCTTCGTCCTCCACATCAGATTCTGAGTCACTGGAACTGGTGGACTCTCTGAGTGGATCCCACGCCTGATGATCCCTGTTTCCACTAATCGCCAATGCCCTAATATGGGTTCTAGGCCCACAAGGTCCCCTCAGTACTGCCTATGGCGTAACCTGACTTATAGGCCATCATCTGTAAGTTCTAAATGCTGTAAAAGCACATCCATACTCTCAGCCTGTGCTAAACAAGCCTCTCTCTCTCTCTCCTGTTTTAACTCTAACTCTTCCTGTGCTCTACAGAACTGATCCTAAGTGTTTAATTCCCAGTTGGCCCTGGAACCCAGGGAAGCTTAACTACTGAGACACAACCTCAGCCCTTTTTTTTTCACTTTTTATTTTGAGATAGTGCCACCCCCAACCAGCACGGGCAGCTGAACTTAAGGTGACTCGTGTGAATTTCCTGGGACGCCAAATAAAACGCAGACACACACTTTACCTTTAAATCAAGCTTCAGGATGGCTCCTCCATTCTCGGCCTCAAGCTCCCCAAATGGGAGAATGAGAAAAATCACCAGAGGCTGGCAAGAGAGAGACAGCATGTTCAGAAGTGAAATTTTATTGGGAGGACCCTCATTCTTAAGAATGTTCCATCCAAAAAAAAGTCCAGAGGGGCAGGGTTACAAGGACAGGTGAGAGTAATTCGATTGACCCCTGGGGCTGCAGGAAGCCATGCCTATGACTGAAGACACATTTTGCTAATTCGAGGATTGCAGCAATATCGAGGTCACTACGAACGTGACCCACAGAGCCTGTTCTGATCACAGGAAGGAGAATGCCAGTCGTTCAGCGAGACCACCTCCCACAAGACAGGTTATCGCTAAGTTGCTTGGGGCCTTGCTAAGTTGCTGAGGCTGGCTTTGATCTTGCAATCCTCCTGCCTCAGCCTGCTGAGCCACTAAGATTACAGGCATGCACCATTGTGTCCCCTGTGACTAACTTTAATGCAACAGGAGCCAGGCCACTGCTGATAGAGCACCTTCGCTACCTGGATTCCTTTCACTTTACTGAGACCACTTCTGATGCTCTCCCAACACTTGACGCACCCTTCTTTACATTTTCAGGGTATCTCCACACTCACATCATGGTCCTCACCCCTCCAATAGGGAAACCACCTCCGATCACATCAGGGATTGGGGCCAGCCTGGGATTTCCCCTGCAGACTTCATGCCCTCTCCTGACTCAAGAGTCAACTCAACACATTTTGTGTGTGTGTGTGAGATAGGAACTTAGGATAAAAAGAGACATAGTTAATTTTTAAAGGAAACACCCACAAGCCACTGAGACGTAGAAAGCATTGCTGTAAATCTTGAGCAACTCACCCTTGGCCCATGCCCTTGTAAAATGAGGGAAATACTCAAGCACAGGGAAACTGGTGCAAAATTGTGCAACCCCACTCTGGACCCACATGCAGCCCAGCACCTACTGTTGCCCTTCTATAAACATTGGACCCCCAGCCCAAGGCAGGGCTACTTTTTACTCTTGAGACAGCCCAAAATCTTCCTTGAATGCGAATCTACCTTCCTAAATAAACTTCTGTCTATGCCTTTGCCTTTGTCTGGCTGATGCTGAAATTCTTTTCCTTCACATATGTCAAGAACTTCGCTGGTCCTGAGAGAATTCCTTGGACCCTTCTCCAGAGACATCTCTTCTCCCATGTCATTTGGGATCCTGCTGACTTTTGCAATTGTTCAACCCCACGGCTATAAGCACCTGGAACATACGGTTGACCAATCCCAAAAAATGAAGTTGGAGGACTCAATGGAGAGGTTTTTAGACATTTTATTACTTACTCCTTAGCAGTGGCAGGCCAGGAAACAAAGCAGGGTGAATATACAGGATAGATTGCCTGCCCACTGCACAGGTGGATTTCCTCAGATGTTTTATGAATATATTCCTTTAATTTATAACCAGGGTCACTCTGTTTAGATTCTCACCTGAAGATTGAAGGTA